TTTTGATGGAGACCCTCTCCAGTATCAATCTTTCATAAGAGCATTTGAAAATGGTGTGGAAGCAAAGACAACAGATTTGAGTGACTGTCTGCACTTTCTCGAACAATACACCAGGGGGCAGCCGAGAGACCTTGTTCACAGTTGTCAGCACCTACCTGCAGAACAGGGCTATTACAAAGCCAAAAATCTTCTTGCTGAGCATTTTGGTAATGAACATGAACATGAATTGCACATGCATATATGGAAAAGATTAATAACTGGCCATCAATTAAAAGTGAAGACATTGAAGCACTACAGTCTCTTTCACTGTTCCTCAAAGGATGCTCAAACTTAACTGAACATATTGCTCACATGAAAAAACTGGATTTGCCAACAAATATGAGAAATATCATTCTAAAGCTTCCTTACAAACTAAGGGAAAGATGGCGGTGTGTGGCTTGTGAGCTCCAAGAGAGGAGGGGTCAAAGAGCACTGCTCATTGATCTTGTTGCATTCATTGAAAAACAGGTCAAAATTGCATCTGATCCACTTTTTGGTAATATTCAAGATCCACAGCACGTCACATCCAAAACCTCCAATAGCAGTCACATAAAACAAAGGAAAAAGAGTTTTGCCACCAATGTCACAGCTGTAAACAAATTCACAACAAATAAAGTGAAATCTTCTGTAAATTCTGCATGTTTATTCTGCTCAGTGAACAATCACACTCTGCAAAAGTGCTTTAAATTAAAAGAAAAGACACACAAAGACAAAGTGAACTTTATTAAAGAAAAGGGAATCTGTTTTGGTTGTCTGAAAACTGGTCACATAAGTAAAGAATGCAAAAATCAAATGGAGTGTTCTGTATGCCATCAAAGACACCCAAATGTTCTTCACATTGACAATGATACTGCATCCCTCAAGCGCCGTCTGCAGCCTGTCACCAGCTCCACCACTTCTACAATGACTCAAACCTGTGGCCATATTGGGGCCGGTGACCAAGACCAATCTGTACTGTCTATTGTTGCTGTCCAAGTCAGGAGCCAAAGCACGAGTGCACCAGTGCAGACATACGCCGCCTTGGATCCAGGCAGTACCGGCACATTTTGCACAGAAAGTCTGTCAAGGAAACTGAATGTAAAAGGCAAAAAGGCATGTATTCTGCTGCAAACAATGGGGCATAAAAGCGTTGTGAATACAAATATTATTTCTGGACTTGAAATTGCTGCACTTAATGAAAATGAGTACACTGAGCTTCCTGATGTGATGACACAGAAGTCAATGCCTGTTTCAAGATGTAATGTCCCACAGCAAGAAGATGTAGACAAGTGGCCATACTTGAAAAATTTTAAGCTCCACGACATTAATGCTGAAGTTGAATTGCTTATTGGTACTGATGCAGCCAAAGTGATGGAGCCGTGGGAGCTAATCAACAGCCAGGGGGGATGGGCCCTATGCTGTTCGGACCCGAGTTGGATGGGTCATTAATGGTCCACTTCGTGGTGAGGGCAAAGGCAAGATTGGCTTTTCTGCTGTCACTGCAAATAGAATCTCTGTGGAACATCTTGAGAACATGCTGGTTCAACAATACAATCATGATTTCAATGAAAAAACATCACAAGAGCAAAAGGAAATGTCCAGGGAAGAAATTAAGTTTATGAATATAATGAACAGTTGTGCAGCACTGATTAATGGACATTACTGTGTAGATCTGCCGTTTAAAGAGCCAAATGTCAATTTACCACAGAACCGCTGTATTGCAGAGCAACGTCTTCAAAGTCTGAAAAGGAAGTTTGACAAAAATGAATCCTTCAGAGCAGAGTACATTTCTTTTGTTGAGGACATGATTTGTAATGGATATGCTGAACTGGTACCTGATGATCTGCTGATGGACAATGAGGGGACAGTGTGGTATATTCCACATCATGGTGTTCATCACCCCAGAAAAAACAAGTTGAGAGTTGTCTTTGATTGTGCTGTGACCTATAAGGGGACTTCACTTAACAGTCAGCTTCTGCAGGGGCCTGATCTGACAAACTCTGTGGTGGGAGTTCTTCTGTGCTTCAGACAAGAGCATATAGCTCTCATGGCAGATATCCAGGCCATGTACCATCAGGTCTACGTCCCAGAGCAACAGAGAAATGTCTTGCGCTTCCTCTGGTGGCCTAAAGGTGACACTACATTGCCTCCAAAAGAATATCGCATGAAAGTTCACTTGTTTGGAGCTGTGCAAATTATGCTCTAAGAAGAACAGCAGAAGACAATGCTCCTCACTTTCCACCTGAAGTTGTTGCCACAGTGAAACATAATTTTTATGTGGATGATTGTCTAAAATCTCTGCCCACAGAAGGAGAAGCTATAAAAATGGTTCAAGATTTGACAGCTCTCTGCAGTAAAGGCGGATTCAAACTTTCAAAGTGGGTCAGCAATAGCCGTGCAGTGCTGCACACAGTTTCAGCCAGTAACAAAGCAAAAGAAATACTAGAAATGGATTTGGATGGAGATGAGCTCCCAGTGGAGCGAGCACTGGGGCTCCAGTGGTGCACTGAAAGTGACACATTTAAGTTCAAATCATCACTTCAAGAACAGCCACACACAAGAAGAGGAATATTGTCAGTGGTGAGCTCACTGCATGATCCTTTGGGTTTTCTTGCCCCATTCACAATCACTGCCAAGCTGCTCCTGCAAGAGCTCTGCAGAAGAAATCTGGGCTGGGATGATGCTGTGCACCCCCACTTTTCTAAACAGTGGTCTGACTGGCTGCAAGATCTAAAGAGAATAGCAGTGTTCAGAGTCGATCGGTGCATTAAGTCTAAAGATTTCAGTCCTGTTACAATGCAGCTCCACCATTTCTCTGATGCCAGCCAGGTGGGATATGGCACAGTGTCATATTTACTACTCCAAAGTGTCCATCATGTCCACCTCTCATTCCTCCTGGGAAAGGCCAGAGTTGCTCCTCTCAAGCAGACCACCATCCCTCGTCTGGAGCTCACAGCTGCTGTCCTCGCTGTTCATATTGATCAAATGCTACAAAGAGAGTTACATCTTGAGTTGGAGAAATCAGTTTTTTGGACCGACAGTACCACAGTCCTGAAATGCATCAGTAATGAAACCAAGAGATTTCACACCTTTGTCGCAAACAGAGTCTCGCTCATCAGAGATCATACTCATGTTGATCAGTGGAGGTATGTGAGCACTAAAGAAAACCCAGCGGATGAGGCTTCACGAGGAATGAGAGCCGAAGACTTCATGGAGCACAGCAGATGGATCAGAGGGCCTCAGTTTCTGTTGGATCCTAAATACAATTTGCCAAAGTTGGATTTACACAGTGAGCCTATTTCTGCTGATGACCCTGAAGTAAAAAAGGATGTAACAGTCAGTGCTGTCGTGGAGGAGAACAGTCCCACCAGTTACCTCATCTCCTACTCTTCATCCTGGGTGAAGTTGAGGCAAAATGTGGCTTGGTTTATAAAGTTGAAGGAGCTCCTCAAAGTGCTGTCAAAGAAAAGAGAGGAGTTTTCACAGTCAGAAAATGATAAAACCACTAAAGAGCAGAATGTAGCACAAAAAATGCAGCAGTTCAAAGGCACAGTAAAAGGACAATATTTAACATGTGCAGATCAAGACCAAAACCAGTGAGTTGGAGAGACCAGTGACCAAGCTCTGTCTGCTGCTGGAAGCGGCTATGGACTCAAATTAAACTCAAACCTCTGTCTGTCTCTATTCTGCATCCTATGCTCTGTCTATCATGTTCTCTTGCAGGTTTATCAGAAGAAAGAAGAAAAAAAAATTCAGCTAAGGCTAATGCATCACACATATCTAATACTGATACCGTATTAGAACAGCTCCTAGTTCAATTGAGTGGTAATTGTGATTTAATGCACAATTAGGGGCCGGAGTGTAGGAGCTATTTGCTTATTTTGTTGATTCTAAAATTTGTTTATTATTTTTGTTTGTTAGTTAGCTTACTAATTTAGTTTTGTTAATTTGTATAATATATTTTTTGCTATGATAATATTATTCTTGCTAATTTCTTAGTTTAAATTGGTATTATTTACGTTAGCACCTCCTTTTTGTTTTTGGTTTAATTCGGGTCACCTAGGGGATAAAAGAGGGTGGTACACGTAGACCAGAGTGACCTGGGGCCTATGGTTTTTTACCAGTCACGAGGAGAGGCAGCAGGAGTCGCCTTAAACATGTTTTCCTTGTTGTTTGCCCAAACTGGAAATAAACCTTGGAAAATCATCTTTTGTCATGGACATTGATTTGTACTGCGTAAACCACATACCCATGGTGCCCAAAGGTGATTATTTGAGTTATGTTTAGTTCTGAGTTTGCCCACGCTTTTGTTTGTTACTTTTATTTGACAAATAGTCACTTCACTTATAATGACAAATAAATACATCTAAACTAATAGTTGAATACTGTCTGTCTAATAATATCTGTGTATCTCTATATACTATCTATGTAAAAGGTTTCTGTGTGCGTCACGCCCTCTGGCATGTCCAAGTTGATCTTTCAACTGATTAACTGGAAATAATTATGTTTATTATGGAGTTGTAATATTCTTATAATCAACAGTATGACTGTTGTCACTGAAGATGCTGCATAAGTCCTACATAAACATTGTGTTGTATGGGAATAGTTTTAGTAGCCTTATATTTTCACTCTACTAACACTGTAAGATTTTGTATTATTAGTATTAGTATTTCAATAGTTGTTTATCTTGATTTGGAGTACATGTGTGTCCTGTGGTTGCTTTGCTTTGTAACACTGGAATTTGTTACCTTATGCTAAAAAGTCAAACTGAGCTCTTGGTGCTTATACTCCTCTCTCTCACCCACAAGGTGAGCATTTGATTTTAGTACCATTTAATTCATCTGAATCATTTAAGAAAACTTTGATTTCACTCAACATTTAATGTAATACAAAGGTTCTTTGTTTGTCAGTCATGGAAAAAACACAACAGAACAAAACATGACAGAACAAAATGTATGCTTCAAGCTTTTGTGATTCCAAAGAAAACTTATGGCCAGACACAGTATTCATGTTTTCAAGAATACCAAAATTATTATTCTCATTATTTAAACAGCTTCTCTATAGGTTCTATCTTTAAGTGGAATTAATCTGGGCCTTGGTACGTACAGGTCCGTGCAAATTCCTGCTTTCAGCACTGACTTCAATTTTCATGACAGCATCGCCAGAGTTGGACATGGTGGCTTTAATAGTAAGAAGGTCATTCTCAGATGTGACAGAGGAGCCTTTAGCTTTAGCTCTCACAAACCCTTCCTCTTCATTTTTGAACATGCGCTTAAACAGGTGTTTGTCACACTCTGTGTTACTGTCAACAAAGCCTATGGCAAACACAATGGAGTGGAGGTTGAGGTCATAGGGCACCTTGAAGAGAGCGGCCACCTTCCCCACACACTGCTGCTGGTCGTACAGGTCATATGAGAACACTGCCCCTGTCCCTCGCATCGATCTAGGGGACTTTGTGAAGAGCCCCTTTCCAGAACAAGAGGGTTTGATGGTGATATTTAAGGGTTCTTTACAGATTCCCGTATCAGTGTGCACTCTGGAACACAACACATTTTCACTTACACAGACATATGTATGGGTCTTATAATGTTCCCTCTTCTCATTTGCTTTATGTTTCAATTTTATATTAAAATTCACAGAAATTAATAAAATAACAAATCTGCACCACAGGCATTTCTATATAAAAAAAATTAAATAATACAAAACAAAACAAAATATGTGCTACTGAAAAGATGAAGAAATGATCAGAATGGATTTAATAGGGAGCTGTGTCTTACCTTGGGTTGCACAGGATATAAGTTGAACACTCATTCTGGATTTGAACAGAGCATTGTCGATTTGGGAGAGCTTTAGAAAGCAACCCGCCAGCTGTAGAGCTTATATCCACAACATTTTCTACTATGTCCACTACATCAGCGACATCCCCCAACACATCAGTCACATCAGGCTGCTCTTCTTCTTCTGCCATATTGGTGTCTACCAAACATAAAAACAGTGAAGCTATAGTCTCAAGGCACAACTCAACCACAAGCAAACAGTGTGTACACGTACCCGACCTGATCTGTCCAGGACCTGACTCTGTCCACTATCACACAGTCAGATGAGCTTTATAAGATAAAGAAAACATCATCATCATCAAGGTTCAAAGGTCTTGATCCTTCTTGATTATAATTCTGGGAAATGTCTTGGAGTTTATCTTTTATTTTATGTTTGTCTTGGTTATGTTGCCATAGTGAGCAAAAAGAGCTGATGAAATACATACATACATACGTACATACATACGTACATACATACATACATACATACATACATACATACATACATACATACGTACATACATACATACAGTACATACATACATACGTACATACATACATACATACATACACAGTACATACGTACATACATACATACATACATACATACATACATACACACATAGTACATACATACATACGTACATACATACATGTACATACATACATACATACATACACACATAGTACATACGTACATACATACGTACATACATACATACATACATAGTACATACATACATACATACATACATACATACACATAGTACATACATACATACATACATACATACGTACATACATACATACATGTACATACATACATACATACATACGTACATACATACATACATACATACACATACATACATACATACATACATACACATACATACATACATACACATAGTACATACGTACATACATACATACATACATACATACATACGTACATACATACATGTACATACATACATACGTACATACATACATACATACATACATACATACATACATACATACATACATACATACATACATACATACATACATACATACATACATACATACATACATACATAGTACATACATATGTACGTACGTGCCTTTGTGAAGCCGGGGCAGGAGTTCATACTCACTGAGCAGTGGCAGTTTGGGGGGAGGTGGTTGTCTTATGCTTGATGTCCTGCAGGTTGTGTTTAGCTCTAGTTTGGTCTATTTTCCTGAGTTGAGTTCTTTTAGGCTTCTCTCCACTTGAAGGTGCATTGTGTAACTTTTTTGGTGGAGGGTCCGTCAAATGCTTTTCTTCATGTAGATGTTATTGCTTTGTCTGGAATGTTTCACAGTATGGCATTTAACCTTTCTATTATCATGGAGACCAAACCAGACCAAGTTACAGGTCAGATCTGTAGAGAGGCAACCCTTAGCTATAAAAGCTATAAAATCTTTGAACTACAAAACCACATGTAATTGAATAATATAAGGTAAAGCTGTTTATGGTCATACTGTGGAACATTCCAGGCAGAGCAATGACATCTTCATAGAAACAAGCAGGTGACGGACTGGGTGCCCAACCAGGAAGTTACATAGTTACAAGTTACATACTTCGCACTCTAAACATGAAAAGACCCTTGTATTTAAAGGTAGAATCTCTGTTTGCCCTTTATAGTAATGTGTTCTGTGTAGCTGTCCCGCTTTAGTTTATGTCCCAGACTGTACCTTTGTATTCGTAGTACTTTTACGCCACCTACTTTCTTTTCATCTGTTCGTTTTTAGAAGAGATACTCTGCCTTCTCTCTAAGCTAATAATAGTTTGAATAACTAAGATTTCAAACAGGATTTAAAAAGGACAGCAAAATGGACTTTTCAGAGCTCTCAACCATCTTATTATATAGTTTCCTTCTCATCGACCCTCTGAAGTTGTATTTAGAGTGAGGTCTGTCGCCTTTTCCAATATCAATTCATTACGACACGTCTCTATTTAGATGGGCCAGTTTTCCAAATGTTTTGGTATCCCTATTCCGACACGTACATTTTTTTTTTTTGGAGAGTTGTCATAGTCTACCCAGGTGGGTCTCTCACAGTTTTTTTTATCAGTTCTGTAGCGGTGCGGTGGAGTGTCCAAATTGCAATGTGTAGCCAAGCTTGGCTAACAGCCACCTAGATGGAATTGATTTGGCCAAAAGAAATGGCTTTGCGGCCTGTCAGTAGCTAACATCAAGGCTCATGCCATGCTTTTGTTAACTAACTTGTTAACTTGGTTGCTTTCATTGTCACCGAAGAGGGTCTGATCACATTCTAACATCATTCTGTTTATGTACATTTAACATGACGCTGGTACTGCTCGAACTGTACAAATAAATCACAGGTGTCAAACATATGGCCCGGGGGCCAGATCCGGCCCTCCAAGACCTTTAATGTGGCCCTTGGGTGATTTTCTACTAAAATATCTTAATTATATTTTCTATTAAAATATTGGTCATTTTCTGCGGTGCTGAGCACAGAAGCGTCTCCAGCGTCTCTGTATGTGGCCCCTCCCACCAGAGCAGCACAAATGAAGACTTGTCTCTTTCCAAACGCTCTTAAAGGACGATCGTTTTGACTGTTGACCGTGACACCCTCATCAGAAAAATGTCCAACATGAGAAAAGTGGAGCCGAGTGCAGGATTTTCCAAGATAAATGGACTTATTCTTATTTACATACAAGTTCATGTTAAAACATTGTGTTGAAATTGAATTTTTCTTAAAGTTTCAGGTTGTTCATAATATAATATTATAATAAGAAAGAGTTCATCATTTAAAAAATATTTCTGTAATAGATTTGCATTTCTCTGCACAAATATTTGAATTTATTGTTATTTTTGAGGTTTATATGACATGAGTTTTCTGATCCGGCCCCTTTGGGATCAAAGTCGGTTGGATACGGCCCCCGAACCAAAATGAGTTTGACACCCCTGAAATATGATGATACTTATGGATATAACCTCAAGTGAAACACACGTGTTGCCGCTTTGCTTCGACCATAGACAGACAGACACAAAACTTTTTCTGACTGGTTGATTACACGCTACAGGAAAGCCCATTAGAGATTTTTTGTTGCACATTTGGAACGCCCATGCTGCAGATCGACTCTCCTCGAAATAGGTGTTTTTGAGCTGCGACAGTGTCATCTCATTGAGCTGGCGCAATTAACTTGATCATTTGGTTATTTATTTAGGCTATATGGTGTTCTCCACAGATAGCATATGTGCCGTTTTATTAGATATTTTCCCGAAGGCTGGCCTATGCTCTTTTTTAAAATGCATGACTGTTTCTCACGGTGATCAGTTAGGACATTTTCCCATTGTCTGATATCCGATGGTGTTTTGCACCGGCCCAAGCATCTTATGATATATGGGAGCGCAAAGTATAATAGGCAATCACATTATATTGTACAATATAATATTATTCATGATGGAAAAGCGGAATGTTTGAAAAATAGTAAAGTGCCGCTACACCAACAATGGAAAAAAAAAAAGCCGAAGTAGTGCGACAGTGTCACGGGTTCGTCCGAAATAAATGTAAAAATGATGGCTCAGTCAAAAAACTTCACTTAAGTGGGTTTTTATTCGCACCACAGCTCCAAGTGCAGAGTGAAATATTTACAGTGACAAAAAAAAAAAATGAGGTGGTAGACAGAAGTATTTACAAACATATGTACAATAATCACTTACAGTTGCAGCACCCACGTAGTCAGGCCAAATACCCACTGCAAATGACTGGAGCTCCCTCCTTTATACCCCCTTAGCCCCTCCCCCCGGGCTAACCAATTAACGAAAATGGGGTTTTAAGGAATTAACATAAGCAAAATTGTATTGAGGAACACAAATCAACTTGGAAATAAACATAATAAAAATAACTTAAAGAACCCCTCATAAGGTTAACATAAGTTTCATTAAACAACTTCAAAAACCCACAAATGACCCCAAATAGACCACAATGGTCGAGTCCACGATCACATGTCCCCCTGGAGCGCGCCACTATGCGCTATTTAAAGCACAACCAGGAAGTGCCTCGGTTTGGCCCTAAACTCAAGAACGGCGCGGAGGCTGCTGCAGGTTGGAAAGCAGCGTCGGCGTCGAGTGTGCAGCTCGAACGCACGAGCCGGGAAACCGTTCAGATGTTGAGGAAAAACAGGACCGCGAGACACACGAGCGGTCCTGCATAAACCAGTCTATCGGAGCTTAGCTCCGCAAAACGGGGAGGGAAGGAAGCGTCGTGCGTGCTCTTTGGCCAGATGCAGACGCGCCAGTCGGGAGATGACGGGGCAACACAGACGCTCCGTCACAGACAGTTAGACGTGAATGTCTAAATAGAGGCATGTCACAATAGCAGCATGTAACCATTTGGAGTGATTCGTGCATGTTTGAGTCATCTTTATTCTCCTGTATTCAAGATGTCATTTCCCTGATCAACCCCCGTTTTACTGCCTCCACTGCTCTGTACTTACTTCCTACTCCTATTTTATTTTTGGATTTGGTGATGTGCGTAGGACTCAGCATTGTCACATAACTATTTTGGCACAAATGAAAACAAATCTGCTTCTCGCTAGTGTGATTTGAGCTATCCACAGTTCGGAGCCCCAATGTGCGGTGCTTTGTTGTGATGATGTTTACGGCGACGTCAGCTCCCATTGGACACCGCAGTTTACTAGAAATAATCTTTAAATAATCCCCACTTTCTGAAATCTTGAGCTATCCATTTTTGTCAGTATCTTAACACATACATATTCCCTGCTGCCAGAAACCTCAGTGTCATTTTTGACTGTCAACTTCCACCTTCACAACAAAAAAGTTGCCCAATCCTCTTTTCTCCATCTTTGCACAATTAGCAAAATCAAAACGATCCCGCCCTGATCTTGAAAAAGTCATCCACGTGCTCATCTTCTCTCGTCTAAACTATTGTATCTCCTTCCTCTCTGGCGTCAACTCCAAATCCATCTCCCACCTCCGACTGGTTCAGCTCGGCTCCTCACTGGGTTTAACAGACATCAACACATGACCCTGTTTTACTTCTCTGGCTGCCTGTGTGCTTTAGAATCGATTTGAAGATTTTACTGATCACTTTTAAAGCTCCTTTAGGTCTTGCACCAAGTTACATTTCAAAACTTTTAACCCCGTCCGAGCCTCCCGCAACTGTTCCAAAGTCCGGACTCCGGACGAGGGTGATGGAGCCTTTTCAGTCCGGGCTCCTTGGCTTTGGAACGACCTGCCTGAGGAGATACGGCTCACACCATCACTGTCTTCTTTTTAATCACTTCCTAAGACTAATTTTTATTGGTTGGCCTTCCTTTAACTGGTTTTAGCTTGATTTTTACTCCTTATTACTTTTTATTCTATTTCTTTTTATTTATTTATTATATTTAATTTAATTGCTTACCATAGGTGTGACATTTTTATGCTTTTTGTTTTGTTCTTTGTGATTTGTACAGCACCTTGTTTTTGTTTTTGTATTTATTTATTAAAGGGACAATGCATATTAAAAGACTAAATAATGTAGCAGACAAACATGTAATTGTAAATATGCAGGACTGTAGCCAAAGCTAATTTCCATCCTTAGTCCTCTAAAAGTGCTTTATAAATAAAGATTTATTATTATTATCTGCACAGATATAACAAATAATACACTACTCTTTGCTATAGTCCTCAGTTTCTATAGAAAATGTCAGTGACTGTACACTACATGTAATGCAGTGCATTAAACCAAGCCTTCACATAGCCCTGGTTCACTCTCTGACCTACTTGTACTGGAAACACAAAGGAGCGGAGGGAGGCTTGAGATGGTCCAGACTAAAAATAGCCCCGAGATGGAGAGTGGTGCAGATGAGTTGTGTTTGCAGAGCCCAGGAGGTGTGGCCGCTCCAGCACTGCAATCAGGCCTGCAAAAAAAGAACACATTCACTTAAACACTCATTATTTTAGCTTTCAGACATGTTATAATTATTGTTCCCTCATCAAAAACATACCTGGACTTTTCGTACTGCTGTGTGCTTACATTTACAAGTCTGGGCATGTTCATCATTGTGTAGTTTAATTGTTTTCCCCTTGGTAATTCCGTCTGCTGCCAGTAGCTGTCAACGAAGCATTTCTTAACACCAAATTCCATTTGAACAACTGGTTACATGCGGCCATTCAAATATACTGCCACTCCGACATTGACATCTAATTGTCGAACTAGTCGCAATTCCATTTTTCGTCAAACGCCCTTGCACTTTTTTTTCCCTTGTTCAGAGTGGCAGCACTTAAGTTTTGTTTTTCAATATTCCGCCATTCCGACACGCAAGGTAATTATTAAGTTGTGGCAGTGCTCTTTTTGGGACAATATTTTCATGGACTGGTGGCATAGGGGAGGAGATGCAGTGTGTGCTACGTATGGGAGGAGATGCGGTCCGCACAGCATGGTCCAGATTTTTGTACTATTTTAGTTCTGGTTTAGTCCTGTTTAGTCCCGGAGCATGGGAAGAAGCACAGCCCATGCAGCGTACGCGAGAAGACATGGTCCACGTGGCGTATAGAAGACATGGCCCATACGACGAGAAGTGGTCCACGCAGTGTGCGCAAGATGACACTGCCCACACAGCGTACGCAAGAAGACGGGAATGGGAAGAAAAACGGTTCACTTTGCAAACAGACGGAGGCATGGTTCACGGGGCGTACGGGAGGAGGAGCGGTCTACGTGGCGTACGGGAGGAGGAGCGGTCCACGTGGCGTACGGGAGGAGGTGCGGTCCACGTGGAGTACGGGAGGAGGTGCGGTCCACGTGGAGTACGGGAGGAGGTGCGGTCCACGTGGAGTACGGGAGGAGGTGCGGTCCACGTGGAGTACGGGAGGAGGTGCGGTCCACGTGGAGTACGGGAGGAGGTGCGGTCCACGTGGAGTACGGGAGGAGGTGCGGTCCACGTGGAGTACGGGAGGAGGTGCGGTCCACGTGGAGTACGGGAGGAGGTGCGGTCCACGTGGAGTACGGGAGGAGGTGCGGTCCACGTGGCGTACAGGAGGAGGTGTGGTCCACGTGTCATATACAAGACAAAAAGGTGACACTCCGAACTATGAGTAATTTATCAGAATGGTGACATAAAAGGTGTAGAAATGAAGGGTTGTTGGAATGACTGAATATTGGGGCTGGAGTCTGTCGGAGTGGCAGTATGTTGGAATAAGTGTTATACCCCTGACCAAGTATAGTGTGATTACAAGTGAAGAAATAAACCACTTACATAGCAACAAGTCCACAAACACAGATATTTATTGATGCACTTTTGATACACTTTTTACACAATTTCTATTTCAATCTATTTAAATTACTAATTTACTTCTTATCAAAACAGATGCACTTACTAAACTTTTGCAGCCAACATTTCGTTAACAACCAGCTAGCTTCTTCTGGGCTTTGTGTCAATGATTATGGCTACCTCGGGAATATCTTATTTTTGGACATCTAAAGATTTGCTCCAATGAATCTATTTCTTCACTTTGTATTTTGAGCCACGGATTAAACCTTGGTTTTCTTCTTCTTTGCCACCATCACTGTATTGCTGCTTCTGCCTCAAACTTTTCAAGATCAAGTAGACCTCCATCAATGGGTTTTTGAATCATTCGTGTTGTTCCTGTAGTCAAATACAGAAAGCATGTGCAGTTAGAGTGAGTTTCTGAAGAACATGTGGGCATATTTGACACCCCTGACTTGAAAAAAAAAATCATGAAAAGTCTACTCATTAGTACTGACGCTCATGTTTCAGACATTTTTGTAGAACTCTGCAAGTGTTACAAGCATTTCCTTTATTTCATTTTGCCTGAATAATTTTTTCCTGAACACCGTTATTTCCACACTATTAAGCGCACTAGATTATATGGCACACTGTCATAGAGTGGTGTATTTTCAAACTTTTTTCACAAATAAATCGCACCGGACTTTAAACGAAACATTACAGTTGGATGGGTCAGTTGAACTTTGTTTGGTGCGTTTACGGTGACTCTGGGCTTTGTTCAGTTGTGGCGTGTAGGGAGGGTGTTGTCTGGGGCCGCTGGACTGTTGCCGTGTTTGCAGTGACTCAGTTGTTCAGTTGTGTCTAGAAGTAGCACATTACACTCGCTTTTTCCGTTTGTTTCTAATTTCCGTTCCTCGTCCGCGTGGAGTAATGAGTGTGTCTGTGGGTGTGTTTCGCTGTGCAGTCGCTGTCTGCTCCGTGTGTGTTTACGTGCGCTGCGGGTGGTGTGGCTTTGTAGTTTACTGGGACACCCGAGTGGATTCATGTATAGGGTGCTCTGGATTGTGGGGTGTGCAGTCATTTTTTGATGGGGTTGGAGGCTTAAGAGCGCGCCCAATAGCCCGGAAAATACGGTAGCTTTAGATTAGCGCATAGACTAGTATACACTCATGGACCACTGTGGAACCACAATCATTTAATGTTGACAATCGCATTCATTGGTGTTTGAAATTGTGTTATTGTGAAAACACAGGCCCATAGAGATGAAGCCCCCTGACTGTGTTCCCTCCTCTGTGCAGGTTTCTATGGCCGGCCCTGGTCCATGGATCAGCGGAGGGTTCTCTTCCAGTGGTAAGTTTGCCTCCACAGTGAGAATGTACCCGGGTACAAGGGGTAGAGCTGTCAGTTTGGACCATCCGATGATGTTTTACATGTATGTCTATTGTGGAATATTCAGCCGCTACTATGGTGGTACAATTCACACATTAGCAAACACAACCAAAAAGTTTTAAGACAGTCTGAAAACTCAAGAAAAGAATTCCAAAATCGATTTTAAGTTGCACTATGTAAGTTTTTGGTTGGGGGTCCGTCACCTTTTTTCAATGTGTATGTCTTTGCTCTGCCTGAAATGTTCCACAATATGGCTTTAAACAGCTCTATCTTACATTTATTCAATTGCAGATGGTTGTATAACTCAAAAATACCTCAAAAAAATATTCTGGTTTGGTCTCCATGAAGATAGAACGGTATAATGCCATACTGTGAAACATTCCAGACAAAGCAATAACGTCAATAACATGAAGAAAACTACACAATGCACCTTTAAACAATGCATTTTCAGGAGCCTGTGATCAATACAAGCATTCATGGTCCTGTTTAGGTTTGATTTTCAACAAGAAAGTGAGAGTGACTAACTGAAAAACTGTTGGATAATACTAACTAGCATGGGACTGTAACTGAAACATGTCTCTACACATTACACATTAACAGCACAAATCAGCTTACCTGTATTTCCAACCAAGTCAATTCTTTATGGTCAGACTGGCCACGTTTACATGTTTTTAATTTCGATTTAATTATTCTGAATCAAATGGTTCGGAATAAAAATATTGTCCTTCGAGTTTACATGGAAATAATAATTCAGAATTGAGGTTTACATGGACATCTGGGGGTCGGGAAGGGTTCTGTTTGGATAGAGACATGAACGTCTGCCAGAAAAAAAACACACACTTCTGCTGCTACTGACGTTTTGGTCATCTCAGTTTATCGTTACATCACAGACACAAACATGATCCAAACTTTTTCTGCAGTTGTTCCGATGATAATGAAGCAGCAGCTGAAGAATTCTCTCATCACGCTTTACGTCTGTCAGCTGAGAAGGAAGAGTGGGGAAGGGAGTGTCGATGAAAACTGAGTCAATGACTGCTCTACCTCAGCCCACTCCCATCAATCCCGCTCGCAAATCCAAAGAGCAGTGGATAAAAGTCTGAACCCAGGACTGGTGGAGCCGGATTGTCCGGATCGCGTCAGAAGGGCGACCCAACGAGCATGCACTGAATGACCAGAATTATTTTTTAAAAAGAATAAACCTTTAGATGAGCAAGGAATAAATTAATTTACCTTTAAAATCAAAATAAACCACCCACTTACTCTGGAATTTAGTTCAATTCCAAATAATCATTTTCATTAGGAACTGAGTGTTTACATGGTCTATTTAAAGTGGAATACATTTTTATTTAGAATTAAATTACTTTTAATGCTCGCATGTAAAGGTGGCAATTGTGTTACAAAAAAGCTCAGATTAAAGTATAACAAAGCTTCAGACAATGAGCTTTACTCTCCCAGGGAATGTTGATGACATCAGCTGCAAAGTGTCAGTAAATATCACAGTCAAATCAAAATTGCTATTTGAGTTAGTACAATAATCAGTGGCTGTAATTATTTAGAGAATAGAATGTCCTCTGAGAAGACTACATTTTTGAAGGTTTTATATTGTAGAGCTTTGCAGACCTCTACAAACATGTTCTGAAATACATTGGATTCTTGTGTTAGTTCAGTTTATCATTTCAGTCTTCTCTGGGATTTGAAGACTTCTGGAGATTGTCTGAACTGAATCCTACTGTTTAAAGAATCTATATTATGCAAACACAACTCCAGGTCTGTTTCTGAGGAGGTAACAACATTATAACATGACTTAAAGCTCACAAGAGTTAATTTTCTGTAATATACTGTAGAACCTTTAAACATATCACGATCTAAGCCACACTCAGATAAAGTGTGATGTGTTGTGTGCTGGTGGAGGGAGGGGCACGTGGTGGGCTGCAGGGCACTGAGGCACTGAGGCGTACAGCGTGAGGCTCTGAGGACACACTTCTGTTACAGTGACAACACAAGCTGCTACAGAACGCATCATCTGGACCATCTCATGTCTGTTTACGGTGGTGATACTTTACAGCTGATGTCATCAACGTTTCCTGGGTGTATGGTGCTAACTGTAGGTACTGGTAATCTGAGTTTTAACACAATCTCATCAGAAAGAGCTGGTTTAGTTGGAGCAGCAGTTTTTCAGTTAGTCACTCTCACCTTTTTGTTGAAAATAAACCTCTTAAACAGGACCAAGAATGCTTGCACTGATCACAGTGGGTACAACCCTTATTCCAACGTACCACCGCAGTGACATTCCGTCATTCAGACACTTTTTGATGCCGCCATTCCGTCACCTTTTGTCACTATTCTGACAACTTACTCATAATTTGGTGCGTCACCGTTTTTGCCTTGTGTTTGGAGAATACCAGTGTTTTTCTAATCCTAATGTCTAACGAACAGGGATGAAAGTCGACTGGTGCACTCTGGTGCTATGTACGGTTATAAGATTTTCTCACGTTCGCCATGTATGCTCCACCTCTAAACCAGAACTAAAACCAGGTCTAAACCAGGAGTGCAGGGACGTTTGATCAAAAACTGAAATACTGGCACTTCAGCAATTAGACGTTAATGTCGGAGTGGCGGTATGTAACTGAACACAGACTTCTGAAAATGTGTTTTTTAAATCCATAAAAAAAAAAAAAAATCTTGTTTTTTTTAGATGGAACTCAGATGCAAATCAGATTGAACTGAAGGGCGTTTTTTTGTTGTTGTTTTTTTTTAGTTTTTTTTTACCATGGTAACTAAAAGCCTGTTTAACAACTAATAAAGGCCAAACTCAAGAATGATCCACTTTAAATAACTGTCAATCATCATATCGTTGGAGCACTTTCTTCCTATGACCTCTTGTATTTAGCTGAGACTTTATATTTTATCACTTTTCAATTTTTTTTTTATTTTGACTTGTACACATTTACATAATTATGTCTTATCACCAGTCTCTTGCTCTTTTTTGCCAGTTATTTAGAATTTATTATCACCATTTTTATTTTTTCTCTTTGTTCTTAGCATTACCATAATGGCAAAACTCCACTCTGGCCTCTGAAAGTTGTGAAAATCACTTACACCATCATAGCAGTGAATAATTAGGATGCTAAAGCTTACTAAAGTGTGGAATAAGTTCGGACCACTGCAAACTCCAAATGTTTAATGGTAAAAGTCGTGCGCAGCGTCGTGAATATTACCGCACTGTCTTTGTTTTTTCTTGAGAAACAGCGTAGGCTGCTGACTGTACACTGTGGGCATGCGCCGTGTTGTGTAAGTTTGGGTGGAGGTGTGTGTGTGTGTGTGTTGTGTGTGTGTGTGTGGGAGGAGCCTACACACCATCTGTCCAGGAAGAGCAGAGAGGAGAGAGAGCACTCCAACTGCCTACACACAGAGAGCCAGAGAGCCCATGTCCTGGTCCTCACGCCTACACCACTTGTGTTTCACTATCCACGAACAGAAGTCATCCAGAGCTACTCGTACCACTGTTTTCCATTAAAGCCGACCTGTGGATACTTTGCAGTGACATCGTGCTGGGGGTGTTCTGCATGTATATGGTGGAATGTTACAGTTACCATGTTGATCAGCTCAACTGTTGAAGTTCCAGCTAAATCCGCACTTTGTGGTCAGATTGTGGTAAAACAAAGCTCAGATTAAAGTCTAACTTGAGGAGGGTGACCAAATTTTCAAAACCAAAAACTGGATTGTGGTACTTGATAATAAAATTGTGAAACAAGTGCATAATTAAGGAAAATTGTTCTGCACTTGGCCCATTCATGACTAACAAGTGAGTCAGTATAGTCAAATTTTTTTGTGTTTTGATCATTTTTAAGCAGCTTTTCTGTATTTTACCTAATCAAATGACAGTTTATACCTCTCTTTACTGTTGGTAAGGATCAAATTAGTCAAAAATAGGGACACCAGGGCAGAGTCTTGCACCTGCCTGTACCTGCACAGTACAGCACCGCACCCGCCCCTTAACCCGTGATGATATCAAAGTTAAACCCGCACCTGCCCGGACCCGTTAACATTCCACCTGTTATCCACCCATATGTGGATATGTGATAAATCACAAATCAAGCATTCTAACTGAAACATCCATCAGACTATGAATGGAAAAGTTACAACTTCAAGAATTACAATCATGAAATGAAAATGAGTTACACTTTCTTCAGTACGAGTACAAATTCACAGACGTGACTTGACTGACATCACTTCACAGGCTTTATTTACTGAGCAGAAGAAACATTGATCAAGATGCCAGGACTAACCTAGGACTGATTCCAGGACTAAACCAGGACTGAACTAGGACTAAACCAGGACTGAACCAGGACTACCCGCCCGTAAAATTCCAGATTGGTAAAACCTGCCCGTTTCAGCAACTATTTGGCTGTACCCATCATGTACCCAACCCGGTGCAGGACTCTGCACCTGGGACATTTCTTGTATAAAACTAGGACAAATCACAATCAAATCTGTTGGGACAGGAGACACAGGGCTCAAAACTGGGACTGTCCCGGGTAAATAATCTGGTCACCTTAAACTTGAGGAACAGAGCTTCAGACCGAGCAGTGCCTACAGTTAGCTTCACATCCCTTTTCAGAGCTTTTAACCATGTTATAATTGTTTTTCTTCTCACTGACCCTCTGAAATTGTATTTGGAGTGTCTCGTGCATGTTTGAGTCATCTTTTTTCTCCTGTATATTGCTCCAATGAACTCCCGTTTTCACCTCCACTGGCACACACACACACACACACACTGTGACGTACACATTTCATTTTCCAATTTTATTTTCGTAATTGGTGATACACATAGGATTCGGCAGTTTTGTGTGGTCATTTCGGTAAAATGTTGGTGAAGTGTAGATACCCATGGGAGGTGCTGACTGCTGCATGGTTCTTTGTTGTGATGACGTCTAAATCGATGACAGCTTCAGTGAGCACCGCAGTTTTACAACCTGGAAGTTACATAATGATTCACAGGCATCATAGATTAGAACTACACAAGCAGAACACGTGTGCTTTGAAACATACTGAAGTTAAGAAACGGTTTGCCATGGTCCATAGTTCTATCTCACTTACCTTATGCATTCAGAGCATCCTAATGATTCACTTAAAAGCACTTTTCACAATAAAGTCAGAGTGGAGCTCACAGTGTATTTCCTAATTCTGGGACTTTTCATTCGATGCAGACAGAACACAGCAGACTTATTTTAACCTCAAGGGTTGCTTATACAATATACATGCAGTGGGGCAAGACCAGACCAAACCTGACCAGATTTTCAAAATACAAAACTGGGACACTCCTGGGATAGGGCGAGTTGTTGGTATAAAAACAATTGTGAAAAGAGCGCGCAACATTGTCCATTCTCGTCTCACTTGTGGGTAAATATATAACCTGATGCTGTTTTTTTTTGTAGATTATTTTGGCCTTGTGGTCATTTTCAAGCACAGTCTTATGTATTTTAGCTGAAGAAATGGTAATACTAGGATATTTCTTTATTTATTTAGTACTATTGTCAGGTATCAGATTAGTCAAATATAGGGACATCTGGGACATTTCTTGTTTAAAACTAGAACAAATCACTGGTTTTGGATAAATCTGCTTGGACAGAGGACACAGGGCTCAAAACTGGGACTGTCCCAGGTAAAAAGGGGCGTCTGGTCATGCTACGCAATACACATTTTGCTCAAATATATGAAAATAAAAAATATGGTACTAACCCTTAAAATAAAAAAAGTATTGTCCATAAAAATGTCCCTTGTGTGTGGTGTCAGGATGCAGCAGTGGGGGTTGAACACGTATCTGTATGGACCTAAAGACGACCTCAAACACAGACTGCTCTGGAGAGAAGTCTACTCTTCAGACGAAGAAGGTACACATCCTGTCCTCTGTGTCTCAGCAATGTCTCTGTCCCTCTGTGTCCATCTCTGCCCTTCCTTTGTCTCTGTCTCTCTTTCATCTCTTTTTCTCTGTTCTTCTTGTGTTTCTGTCCCTCCTGACCTGTGTCTCTGTCCATGTCTGATCTGTCCCCCTGTCCCTCTCTGACCAATCCCTCTCTGATTTGTCTCTCTCTGTCCTTCCTCATGAGTCTCAGTCCCTCTGTCCATCTCTGACCGGTTTCTTTATGACCTGTCCTTCTTGTGTCTCTGTCCTTCCTGTCATTCTCTCTGTCCCCCAGTCCCTCTTAGACCTGGCTCATTTGGATCTGTCCCCCTGTCCTTCTCTGACATGTTCCTCTCTGTCTTTCTCCAACCTGTCACTCCTGTGTCCCTGACCCTCTCTGACCTGTCTCTCTGTGCCCTTGTCCCTTTGACCTGTCTCTCTTGGACCTGCTCCTCTCCCCCTCTGATCTGTCATCCTGTCCCTCTCTGACCAGTCCCTCTCTGACCTGTCCCTCTTTGTCTCTCCGTCCCTCTCTGTCCTGTCCCTCCTGTGTCCCTGTCCCTTCCTGACCTGTCCCTTTCCCCCCCTCTTACCTGTGTCTCTTTGTCCATCCAACTCTCTCTGACCCTGTCCCCCCCGTCCCTCTGTCCACAGCCCAGTTGAGGACGCTGATCGTGGAGGCAGAGCGCAGAGGCCTGACGTTCGTGTACGCCCTGTCTCCGGGACAGGACATTGTTTTCTCATCGGCCTGTGACCTGTCCCTACTCCAGAGGAAGCTGCGACAGGTGCGCCCCTGTCTTATACCTGCTGAGTGTCCTTTTAGTATTAAAGGGCTTCTGTTAAACACGCTGACATTTTGAGCTTTTAACCATATCATTTTTTTCTAACCTCATCAGAAAAGTCCTTGTAGTTTCCGATTCTGCAGGCTCGACTTTTAAAGCTTTTAACCACATTATAGTTTTTCCCCTGACCATTTCTCCTCTGAAGTCATATTTCGAGTGATTCATGCATGTTTGAGCAATCTTTATATTAGATGTTTTCAAAAAGTCATTGCTCTTATCTACCTCAGTTTTCACCAGCACTGGCCTCTGTGATGTACGCAGGTCCTCTGCAATTTTCAAAGGGACAGACTTTGGCTACGTTCAGACTGAAGCCTGAAGTGACCCAAATCCAATTTTTTTGCCCCTATGTGACCTGTATCTGTTCTTTTCATCTTTCTTCAAATGTGACCCAGACTACTTGGATATGTGCTCCTAAAACTGATACATATTCGATCTTTTGACATGCGACTTCAGTCCGAATGGTCTGGTCACATTCATCCCACAAACACTTGTTGTGAACCAATACAGCTCAACGCCGACGCGTTTGCTCACCGAAATAGGCAGCCGATGACGTATTTCCTCCTGCGAGAGTGGTACAAGTAGGCGCTCACAAATGTACACAAACGTTCTTGTTTTCATACGAAGATTGTGTATGAACTCCACATGTCAGTGAAGCAGCAAAGCACACAACAATCCCACCACTCTTGATTGCGACTCTGCACCCACACGTTCCTTTCTACAGACGTGACTGCCACTGCCCCACAAAACGCCATGGCCAAAACGCTCATCCTTCTCCTTCTCAATCTCCTCCTTAAATCAAATAAGCTGTACATTTTCTGGCTCTGGTACGACAGCCGCTTTGAAATCTTCAGGTGCTCAAAGCTTGCGTCCATATTTAGGCGACTTCTGTAAACACTGAGCATGCTCGCTGAGTGTGACGTCGTCGTGTCCTCCAGTGCACATGCAGGACACTTTTGGGGCATTTAACGTTCACACTGGGGATCACATACAAGTCACATTTAATAGGAAATGTGAACAACCTCACAAAAAAATTGGATTTCACATAAAAATCTGAACTGAGTCTAAAAGCTACGTTCAGACTGCAGGGCTTAATGCTTAGCTAGTTGTTTCTTTTATGAAGGCATTTTAGAATAATCATGATTGTAAATCGAAATGATAACCCACGGGTATCAGAGATTAAAACTATAAACTATAACTAGATAATGATTTGCAGTGGTCCAAAATGTCTTTCACTTTCAGAGTGTCCTCATTATTCAATGAAGTTTATAAGAGCAGAGTTTTGCAGTCACGGTAATGCTAAGAACAACTAGTATGCTAACACAAACTTCCTGATTCTTGAACAATAACAAGCTTTATAACTGGATACAGAAGGTACACGGCAGACTTATTTAGATGTTTCCTCTGCCTGCGTCTGTTTGCATCACACAAGTCACTGTCCATCTTGTTTTCTGTATTTATAGTCCAGACTGATCATTAGTGAGCTCAAAATGACTGACTAACGATGGAAGGATTCTCTCTGGATCATTGTGTGTTGTCAGCTGCTGTCATGAACATTCCCTGTGGGTGTGATGCTAACTCAAGGCACTACTGTCACCTCTTTAGAAGTCCTGTTTAAAGTGTTCAGTTAACCTAGTCACTCTCACCATTCCACCATAGAGATACATGTAGAACTTGTTTCCCAAAGACTGGGTCACGACCCTCAGGTGGGTTGCAAGAGATTATTTTTTTGGGTCACCTTGTCTGCATGTAGGTCTGCAATATACACTTCTGACACATGAGAGAGCTAGTGACTCCTATCTGCCTGTCCTGAACGAGTGTTCCTGCAGCTAAAGTTGAGAAATGCTTGCTCAGTTGTCCAAAAAGAAGGGTGATAAATCAGATAAGGTCACTTCAGGATACTTATGAATACCTTTTATTGCTGGTTCAATTACTGAGTAATACTAATTGTTCAGAGAGACACGATCACTCAGTCGACAATAAAATATCCTCATTAATGTTCAATAATGGTCAAATCCACCTTTATTTTGTGATTTATGAATAATGTCTATTGACTTGGGTCGCGAAAGTTTGTGACTTTTAAAATATAGGTCTCCAGAAAAAAAAGTTTGGGAAAAAATGATGTAGAACACCCCAACTGATCACTGCAAAGTATCGATAAAGGAAATGACAGGGCCATGGGCTACAAAGAATAAAAAAACCCAAGTGTATCAAACAATAATGGAACTGCAGGATTACACTGAGAAGAACATAAAATGTGACCACAATACAAAGAGGATCGTGAAATGGCTGCACATCTCCTCTATAACTACAGCTGCACAAGCTGACTCTTCCCTGCTGCGCTCAGCAGATGCCTAATTACAGTTGTGATGGAGAAAAAACATGAACAAAAACCAAAACACTGCTTTAGATTAAAAACAGTCATGCTGATGGCTGAGGCTGCTGCCCCCCGCGACCCGGCCCCGGATAAGCGGACGAAAATGGATGGATGGATGGATGCTGATCTTAAATGAAGACTTTTATTTCACACAATTGTAGTCTCTGAACGAGCTTTTCTCACCATAGCTCTTTGTGGAGATGCTACTGTAGTGTTTTTGTCCTGTTTGACTCACCGTAGCTCTGTTTAGTTGTTACAGTAGTGTTTTTGTCCTGTTTGACTCACCGTAGCTCTGTTTAGTTGTTACAGTAGTGTTTTTGTCCTGTTTGACTCACCGTAGCTCTGTTTAGTTGTTACAGTAGTGTTTTTGTCCTGTTTGTCTCTGTAACTCTGTGTTGACGCAGGTGTCAGAGCTGGGCTGCCGTGCCTTCGCCCTCCTTTTTGACGACATTGACCACTCCATGTGCCAGGCGGACAGTCAGGTGTTCTCCTCGTTCGCCCACGCTCAGGTCTCTGTCACCAACCAGATGTACCAGGCCCTGGGGGAGCCTCCAGTCTTCCTCTTCTGCCCCACAGGTACCACTGATCAAAAGCCTAACTGTGTGGGCTTTTACACTTCTTCTAACTTCAGCTGGTCATTATTACAGGTTTTAGACTAAGTAGGAACACAAAAGTGGGGAAACAAATAATTATATTTCTGCTGACAAAGAATCAAAGTTCACATTTCACATTTGAACCTGTCCTGGAGTATTAACATTCCTCCATAAAAAGACAAAATAAGACACTGTATTACATAAAGGTGGAACGTCTGTGTTCACAGCCACCCCCTCTTGGCTCCATGGAGACAATCTAATATCTCTTGATAATAACTACACCTGAATTAGCTTTAATACAACACAAACAAAGGGCCCATTCATAATAAACACATAGTTTATAAAGAATGTTTCAGGAGTCTGGGTGTTAATAATGAAGTGGTCACTAAGCCTGAATCATTCTTAATAAATGATTTGTTCATTATGACGGTGTTCAGATTTCAACAGCAGCCTACACATATTTAGAGTACAACCTGCATGTACCTGCATAGTACTGTGTTTTCTATTTGAACCCTGATAGAACCAGTGTACAAAGTAGTTGTGTGCAGAGAGACAGTGTCTGTGTGCTGTGCTCTGTGCAGAATACTGTGGCTCCCTGTGCTCTCCCAGTGTGTCCAAGTCTCCATACCTCCAGACTGTGGGAGAGGAGCTGCTGCCCAGCATCTCCGTCATCTGGACAGGTCACTCACTCACATACTCACACCACTGGTATTTACAGTTAGTTGAGTAAAAAAAATAAAAATAAAATTTCTTCAGAATAGTTTGAGGCCAAATAATGGTAGTCCTTCTTCAGCAATACAATGTAACAGTACTTTTACTTGAGTAAAAGTTGTGCTTCCTCTTCCCACTGTGAGTGACTCCAAAGTGACAAAAGCTTTACGTGACAATATGAAATGATTTGAATATTTTTGCTTCTTGCCCCGCTCCTTCAGATATGATCGAGTTTGTCTCATTTTTGTTTCTACCTTTTGAAAATTTAAGATTTCTGCATTTGTCCAATGACACTAATTTCATATTGTAAATCAAATGTTATGTCTGGATAATTACTATTACTCTTATACAGTAGTTACAGTAGTACCAAATACTTTTGTACTTTTACTTGAATGATTCCCTGGACTACTTTGCACTTCCACTTGTATAATATTAATTTCTCTACACTACAGTAGTAAACTTGTACACTTGTGTTTGTGGCTTGTTCTTAGGGTGATTTGATTAGAATAGACTTTACTATCTTTTGCAGTTTTTTTTGCACCATAACACTTTATTTAGCACTCTCGGAACTGCTAAACTAAAACATAAACTTACAAATAAAACATTCTGGATGGTCTTATGGCAAATATAACACATCTGTTTTTACTGCAGGCAGTAAAGTCATCTCCAGGAAGCTGACGGTGGACTGTCTGTCTGAGGTGGAGGCCGTCCTACAGCGCCCCCCTCTGGTCTGGGACAACCTCCATGCCAACGACTACGACTCCAGGAGACTGTTCCTGGGACCTTTTAAAGGCCGTGATCCAGAGCTCCGCGGCCACCTGAGGGGCCTGCTCCTTAATCCCAACTGCGAGTTTGAAGCCAACTACATCCCTCTGCACACACTGGGCAGCTGGTACAGAGCCGGATGCCCCGACGCCAAAGGTCAGCTCAGTTACACATGTCAGAATGCAAGAACTAACACAACTAACACAGTTAGTGATAACTGCTACAGTCATATCCTGAACCACAACAAACATACAGAAGTCAAAGGACTCTTTCATACATGTTCAAACTGGATGATCTGAATTAAATGTACTGTGTGTAGTCTGCACTCTGGTGGTTTAAATTAGGTTCTACAATCACAACTGAACCAGTGTCACCAGAGTCTTCATTAGCAGATAGACACATCCAAGTTTGTCTCATTCTCAGTGTATGGACAGAACATGGCACACGTGAACGCTCAGAACCTCCAGAATTCCCTCACTGAGCTGCAGAGGCTGCACTAGCACTGATTCAGGACTGGTGCAGGTGCTGGTGTTTAGTGACCATTCAGATCTGAGAGAGACATTTTAGGTTTAAACAAACTGAATTTCAGCATTGAAACTGGCAACCCAAATATGAGACTCATGTGAGGCTCATTCTGCTTTCTGATGGATAATTGTCTTGAACCAAAACAATCAAGTTATCAATCTTGTCCAGTGTTTTTGTAATTATGAATAAATCAGCATTGCAATTGTAAAAGCTGTATTAGATTTGACCATGTTTATGAAATAATACATTACATTAATACATTATGTTCCCTCCCTTTCAGGCAGACTTGAATTGAAATCAGTTAACACCTTTTCCAAAGTACTTTTTTTAAAACAAACATGATCTTTGTAGCTGTTTTTGTTATGTTCCAGCTCTCTCTCACACACATACACGTACATAAGAGTCTCATTCTGGTCTCTGTGTCTGTCTCTCGGTGTGTTGCAGAGGAGTGGGAGTACTGCCCTGAGCGCGCCCTCACCTCAGCTCTGCAGGGCTGGATGGAGGAGCTCAACCGTCCCCTCCACACAGGTCAGACCCACAGCCCGTCCCCTCCGCACAGGTCAGACCCACAGCCTAGGGTGACCAAATGTCCGTTTTTCCCCGAACATGTCCATTTTTCATGTCCTGTCCTGGCTGTCCGTTTTTGGTTTTTTTTGGTAAGTGATGCAGATGTTCAGGTTTTCATTAGCGTTCATTGGGCCATTAAAATGAGCGTCTCTTGTAGTTCTCTGTGCACTCAGAAGGAGCGAGCAGACTCAGACAGCAAATGCACATTTGACTTTGACTTGCACAAGAAATTCCCCGCTTTCTGTCCTGGTCGGGACAAGTAGGCCATGTGCACAGAGTGTGCAAAGCAGGCACATATGTTTCAGTGTCCAGTGGGGGTGCTAGGGACCTCAGAGCTCTCCAGGACACCAAAAAACATTAAAAAGCCCCCCCCCCCACACAAATCTGCAAATCTGCAACCCCCCTCCAGTTTAGACCTGATTTTAGTCCTGATTTTAGTCCTGGTTTAGTCCTGGTTTTAGTTCTGCTTATAGTCCTGGTTTATACCTAGATTTAGTCCTGGTTTAGACCTGGTTTAGTCCTGGTTTTAGTCCTGGTTTAGTCCTGATTTAGTCCTGGTTTTAGTCCTGATTTTAGTCCTGGTTTAGACCTAAACTGTTTAGTTTAGTCTTCCTGGTTTGTGACAGAAGCGAGAATAGAGCCCATAGTAAGACTAAAGGGGAGATAAATGATAATGTTGATAATGATATCACTAAGTTCACTCCTGTGTTTGTGTGTGTGTGTGTGTGTGTGTGTGTGTGTGTGTGTGTGCAGGTCGTCAGGGCAGGCACGCAGAGTCGCGCTCTTCCTCCGGTTCCGCGGCGCACCACCAACACGGCCCAGACAGAAGCCAGTGCTCCGGCCTCAGAGGCACCATACCCCTGCCCGTGTTCCCCCTGGACCCCAGCTCTCCCCCCAGCTCACCCACACAGGCCCGCAGGGAGGCCAGCAGGGAGTCCAGCAGAGACGCTGGAGACGTGAGTCAGAAGAGGAGAGGCAGACAGAGCAGTCCAGGGAGCAGGTCTGAAGCTGGAGGAGGACCAAAAGCCCACAGCCAAAGGTGGGTAGGAAAAAGTTACATTTACATTTACATTGCAATTTTATTCCTTTGTTTGACAGGGAAAAAGTTAAGGACAAGATATCGTGCCTTTAGGGATGTAACAATAACTGAAATATCGTGATATTGTATTGTCAAAGGTCTCAGAATAATATTGTGGGTCATTACAATATATCGGATTACAAGTCTCTTTGCTTTACAGTGGTCCTTCGTTTATCGGGGGTTACGTTCTAAAAATAACCCGCGATAGGTGAAATCCGCGAAGTAGTCAACTTTATATTTTACAGTTAGATCTGTTTTAAGGCTGTAAAACCCCTCACCACACACTTTATACACTTTTCTCAGACAGAACAAGTGCAACCCTTTTTACATCCTTCTTAAAACTTATTACTGCTGTCGTCCTTTTGTTATTTCCTCCTTCTTTATGTAACAAACCAAAGATTCATTTATCCCGTATTGGAGCCCTACAGAGCAGAGTCCTACAGTACAGGGCCGCACCTGCCCAGTAACCTGAGATTATATCAGACATTTGCGCTGCCTACGCCACCGACTGAACCGAGACTAACCCTGGACTAACCCGGGACTAACCTGTAACTGATTCCAGGACTGAACTAGGACTATAACAGGACTATGACCATAACCAGGGCTAAACCAGAACTGAAACAGGACTCACTGTCAGGACAGGCTTAGAGGTGACTGCAGGAGAAAGGACCCGCGCAGAGTTCCACATCTCACAGAGGTAAAGGCGGCAATTGCCAGATCGTGCTTTGCGGACAAACTGTTCAGCGTTCTCTCTCTTAAATCCAAGATTAATCCTGGTTTAGACCTGGTCCTGACCCACAAGTGTGTAATTACTACCTGCCCTTAATACACAATACGCGTACAAAATTACAAAAAAAAAATCTGCGAAACAGTGAGACCGCGAAAGGTGAACCGCGATATAACGAGAGACAGCTGTAATTCATAGTTATGGTGATTTTAATGTGTCTTTGTGATTGTAATGTGTTTTTTATTCTGTAAGGCACTTTGAATTATTTTGTGTACGAAAATCAAATCAATTGTGCTGTACAAATAAACTTGCCTTGCTTTGCCATGATGCAGCAATGGAAGAAACTACATAGACCATGATCCTTTGGTGTTGTCAGTGCAGACTACATGACAAGACATAACTGTTACTGAGCACTTTTAAATCTTAATTCTTCATATTATAACAGTACCAAAGACTTTTCCTAGGCTTTTAAAAGTAAAAAGTAGCATATTCACAATTTTGTAAGCCTCTACAAAATATTGCCATAAAAATCGAAACATAAGATGCATATTGTGAAAATATCGTATCGAGAGGTTTTGATATCGTTACGTGCCATAAGATTTCACGAGATTAAATTGCAACAAGATTGTACACACATGAAGAAAATTATCTTGATTATTTCCCTGTTTTCCATTTGCACAGAAAAAATGTTAGAAGCCATAAACCTACGATAACAGTTACTGTGAAGCACTGTAAAGCACTTAGGTTGTCCTGAAATTATTATTACAGATATTAAATAATAGTTGTTTTTAAAATGTGAGGCCAAAAGTGTAAGATGAGCCACACTATAGGCGCTATTCACGCTTATGTCACCAGGAGCACGTTTAGAAAGACACGATTGCAACTTCCAGTGTAGTTACTGACAACAGGCTTGCCTAAAATGGATCTATTAAAACCGACTGTGATAAAGCCCACTGAAGTAAATGTGATCAGCAGTAAAATGAAGACTCCATACGTATGTGCTGTTTGTAATCATCTTGAATTTGGCGCCTCATCTCCTCTAATCACATGTATCCAGTCCACTCAGAGTTGTGTATCAGTGGGGAAATGGTGAAAACTGATGTATGGTTGTATTTGTTGATTAGCTGAACATAACGGAACTCTACAATGACATGGAAATGGGCCTGTGAAGCTGTAATCGCATCTTTCCAAATGTCTTCCTGGTTTGTGATGTAAGCGTGAATAAAGCCTTTTCATTTATTATGTGTTTTATGTTGTGTCTTGGGAATTGTCTCTCATTCATAGTAATAAAACGGATTTGACTTTAAGTGTAAACTAAACACTAAATCAACTTTTTAAATACTAAACTGTGTATATGGTGTTTTAATAATAACATTTTTGGCAGCTTTAGTGCACACTAGGTCAATTTGCAGTTCCCTAATCAAAAACAGTGTGCTGCCCCCAGTGATCACTGTATTTCAAGTACTATGTGACATCACACGGGACTGCCCTGTTACAGACAGATGATTCTTATTACAAACCCTGCCCCTCCTCCCCCCTCACTCTTCCCTTTAGTCCTCCAGACCTGCCCCCTGCTCCCCACTCACTCTTCCCTTTAGTCCTCCAGACCTGCCCCCTGCTCCCTACTCACTCTTCCCTTTAGTCCTCCAAACCCTCCCACCTCCTCCTCCCTCGCTCTCCTCTTTAGTCCTCCAGACCCGCCCCCTCCTCCTCCCTCGCTCTCCCCTTTAGTCCTCCAAACCTCGCCACCTTCTCCTCCCTCATTCTGTCCTTTAGGCCTCCAGACGCCGCCCCTCATCCCCCCCTCTCTCTCCCCTTTAGTCCTTCAGACCTGTCCCCTCCTCCTCCCTTGCTCTCACTTTTAGTCCTTCAGACCCACCTACCCCCCCCACTCACTCTCCCCTTTAGGCCTCCAGACTCTGCCCCCTCCTCCTCTGTCACTCTCCCCTTTAGGCCTCTAGACCCCGCCCCTCCTCCCCCCTCACTCTCCCTCCTCCTCCCTCACTCTCCCCTTTAGTCCTCCAGGTAGTGCCCAGTTTAGCTGCTCTATTTAAATGTGATCTTGGGCAAAGTTCAGGGGTTTAATCTCACTTTAATTACAAAATTACTACAGCACTTTTAAAGTTGAGCAGAAAAGCTGACCTTCCCTTCCCCCTTTCTTGCACCCACAGACGGACTTCCTCTGGGGGCAAAGGATGTCTGACCGAGTCCCAGGTGCGCTTATTGGTGGGTCTGCACTACCTTCCCCACGAGCACGGCCCTGCTGCCCAGAAGCTCCTGCAGGACCTCACCTGGCTCAAGGCCAACTGCCACACAGTCAGCGCCAACGGCAAGAAGAGCGCCCCCCAGAAGGTCAGAGGGCACCTTCATGTCTATCACACAAATCTGATGTACGATGTATATCACTGAAGAAGATATAGGTGATAAGCCATAATGTTGAAACAAATTTATGCCACTGACACAATAACTCTAAAGTAATGTTTAAAATATGTTCTAAATATACAGAATGATGTTTGTTTTAACTTTCCTCAGTTCAAATTTCTAAATTGTAGATGTATGACCAAAAAAATGATATAAGTTCCTCACTAGTACAAAGAAAAAGTATGCACGATAAATATTGAGCCCTACTCTGGGATCCAAAACATGCACTTCAATACTTTATTAAAATGAGTCTGGTCACCGGTGAATCTCCCAGTTTTCAGATGGGTGTGATTGACAGGGACATGCATGGTCAGTCCGTATCAAATAAATATGGTTCCCTATGAGCAAAAAGAGAGGGCAACAATATCACCAGACTGAAAAACATGGAGGATTTCTGCAGAATCAATGAGTGAAGCACTAAATTAAACTAAAATCTGATTGGACGGTCATGTTTGGGCAAACTTAAATGCTCACATTTTTCCAGAGCGCTTTTACACCTTCAAGGCTCAAAGCACTTTCCAACAAGGAACCACTCACCCATTCACACACACATTCAACCCCACAGCCTGTACGCAGACACTGGAGGCCAGGTGGGTTAAGTGTCTTGCCCAAGAACACAACACTGGAAAAAAACATAATCTAGGTAAATTAGAATGACTGAAATTAAGAACATTTTACTTTATTTGAGTAGATTCAACATGACAAGTAAAAAGTACTTGTCAAGTGAAATTTACTCAAATTATGATAAAACTTTCTTAATTCAAGTCAACTGAACTTGTCTAGATTTAGAGTTTTGTAATGAACAACAGTCATCAGTGAGAGCTGGAATCGCACTGCCACACTTCAAAAAAGCTTGACCAAAATGTAAGATATAAACACTTAAATCTATCAGACATATCTATCCACCTCTAGATTAGAATGAAGCAGTCTCAGAGCTAGTAAATAGATACTAAATCTGAAAAAAAAAAAAATCATCTGATATAAATTTTAAAATCTTGGCCAGATCAGAGAAATTTGCAGTGGATATGACCGCTCAACTAATGATATTTATGAGGAGAGCATGATTCTAACTGCCAACCTTCAGATTGTTGGACAAATGCTCTACCAACTGAGCTACTGCTGCCTTAATTCCCATTCATTTCTGCTGCCTGAGATCTGAGAAAAAATAAAAGTAAATACAAATTTCAGGACAAAGCATGTTCTAGAGTCTGTGTGTAGTTTAGATAACAATTATTTGATTACTTATAGGTTCTACGTGTAAGTTTTTGGTTGTTAGTCCGTCACACTGCAGAAAACACAATCTAGTTAAAATGACTTGAATTAAGAAAGTTTTATCATGATTTGAGTAAATTTCACTTGACAAGTAAAATTATTTGCCAGTGGAACAAGACTTTTTGTACTTAAAATATGAACATACCACTTGTTACACTTAAAATGAGAAAAACTAAATTTTTTTGCACGTAAAATAAGAAACAAAATTGAATGTTGCTTGAATTAAGAAAAACATACTTAATCCATTGGTAGATAATTTTACTTGACAAGTTGAATCTGCTCAAATAAAGTCAGATATTCTTAACATAAGCCATTTTAACTTACCTAGATATAGTTTTTTTTTCCCAGTGCACCTGCTTGTTTCTGACTGATATGTCATTGCTCCACTTGGATTGTTTCACAGTGTGACATTAAACAGCTATATCTTACATGTATTCAATTGCAGGTGGTTTTATAGCTTAAAAATACTTAGAAAAACAGACATTCTGACTGAGTGGGGTCGCCTCTCCACAGATCTTACCTGTAACTTGGTCTCATTTGATCTACATGAAGATAGAAAGCCGTAACACCATACTGTGAAACATTTCAGACAAAGCGATAACATCTCCACAGAAAACAGGTTTCGATGGTCCCTCCACCAGAAAAGCTGGGTTATAATGGATGAAGTTGTCCCGGCCTGACTCGTGCTGTTGTCCTTCAGATGGAGGAGTGGCGTGGTCGGGCCTGCAGGTTCCTGTCCCTGTGTGAGGACATCGCTGATCTCCATTGCAGCGTGGTGGGAGGGGCTAACCGTGCCGTGCTCTACGACCTGTACCCCTACGTGTGGGACCTCCGCAACACGGCTCTAGTGGCCAAGGCCTTCATCTGCTGGCTGGGTGAGGAGCACAGGCGCAGTACAGTTCTTTAAAGAGCATGTATTATGTCCATTTTGTTTCCTTTTCAAAAACATACCTAGAGTTGTGTTTTATTTCATTCACGCATTGTTGACGGCACAAAGTGGAACAAAGCATTTTGAGCTTTGGAGATATAGACAGACTAATAAATAATAAACCAAGATTACTCTAATGTGTGTGAATGAAACAAAACTCAACTCCAGGTCTGTTTTTGGTGAAGCAACAACTGTAAACACAAGGGCAGGGGCAACACACTTACATGGGCATCTCTCAAAATGCACTTTCCCGTCTGTAGTTAGTCCAGAACTCTGTGGCACGACTTTTAACAGGAACCAAAAAAACTAGAACGTATTACACCAATCCTTGCATCTTTGCACTGGCTTCCTGTTCGATTTAGATTGATTTTAAGATTTTATGGCTTATTTTTAAAGCTTTGAATGGACTGGCCCCACAGTATGTCTCGGACCTCATCCAGATATACACCAGGTCCGAGGGCTAGCTCCAGCTCGTGGTGTCTAAGACGAGACTTAAAGGGACAGTTCGGAATTTTTGACATAGGGCCTCATTTCCTAGTGTCGTCGATGTAAGTGTCTGTGTCGATAGAACAATTTTAGAAGGAAAACCAACCTTGCATTTGAAGGATTTATGTCTGATCAGCAGCAGCGAGTTTTACTTCCTTATAGAAAGCTTGGCAGAGGCGGACTGATATATGAGAAAATAGTCCCTCAACATGCGACGATTCATGCGACATGCATGCAAGGTTACTTTAATTTCAAACATTATTCTGTCAACACAGATATTCACATCAACAGTGTGGTGTAATAATACACGTCTTCAACATTCTGGCTCACTAGGAAATGAGGTCCTATGTTCAAAATTGTGTCCCTTTTTTTATTTATTTAATTTTATTTATTATTAATTTGTAAAAAAAAATAATTTTTAGCTTTACGCATTTTAACACTTTTTATTTATTGTTTTTATTTATGATTTACTGTCTTTTATTGTATTATTTTTTTTCTGTACAGCAATTTGAATCTTTATAAAATGTTCTACGTAAATAAAGTTGATTAGATTGGATATATAACTCTATGGGAGACACTGTTTTTGAAAGAAATTTCCAAACTTATGATCCAGAAATGTTTCTCCTTCTCATTATTTGTTTGCAATCAGCTCCGCAAACTTGCCATATTGATCTTCTAGCTTAAAGTCCTTTCACTTGAAACACTCTTTGGGGTTGTTACTGGTACCACTTTCTGAAGCTTAGTTTAAACTGTAGGGATTCTTCAGTGTTGTGATGTCACATGACTCAGCCTTTTGTGCGTACATTTCCTGCATGAGCTGATACTGATAGTGAAACTGTGGCCTGTGTGTTTCAGATGGGCGTGTGATGAGTGACAGCTCGGCCCTGGGCTCCTGGAGGAACTGCTTCCACTGTGAGGAGCTAGTGCCACAAACACACACATACATACACTGCATCCTGTGTCACAAATACACTTACAACGTACATTTTAAATCCAGATTTAGATTAACACACAACACTTCCAGGAACTTTTACGTTTGAGCAAAAACTCAACTGCTAAACTAATACAGGAATGTCAGAACAGGGTAATAGGTCAGGTTTTATAAGTCAGGGCTTGGAAGAAAGACCACTGGGAATATCAGGTGCAAGAATAAAAATCTTTTTAAAAATGTATCGTTTAATGTGATGATACAGTATTGATATTGAGAACTGCTGTATCGATATATAGCCAAGAGTATTTTTTTGTATATTTTACTAAATTATTTTGTCACAGCGCTATAGTTTTGTGGTTTATTCAGTGGAAGGAAACTTGTTTATGTGACGCATTTGACATTTTCACAGTTTTGATGATTAAAATCGATGTGTTTCATATGAACTTTGCACAAGAAGTGGTTTAACAAAGCCTTTTAGTATCACAGCCATGATTTAAGTCATTATATCTTATCGAACCATATTGAAACGATTTGTACTGTATTTTCCAGGCTATTAGGCGCTCTGGATTATAAGACGCACTGTCATTAAATGGTCTATTTTCGAACTTTTTTTACAAATAAACTGCACCGGACTTTAAACGAAACACAACAGTTAGAGGTCAGTGGGACTTTGTTTGGCGCGTTCACGGTCACTCTGGGCTTTGTTCAGTTGTGGCGTGTAGGGAGGGTGCTGTCTGGGACCAACGGATTGTCGGCGTGTTCACAGTGACTCAGTCGTTCATTTGTGTCTAGAAGTGGCACATTGCACTCGCTTTTTCGCTTTTTTTCATTTCTCTGTTCCATTCCTCGTCCTCGAGTGATGAGTATGGCTGCAGGTGCATTTCGCTGCGTGGTCGCTGTTTGCTCCGTGTGTGTTTGCGTGCGCTGTGGGTGGTGCGGCTTTGTAGTTTACTAAGTCGTGCTGGGACACCTGAGTGGATTTGTGTATAGGGCGCTCTGGATTTTGGGGCGTGCAGCCGTTTTTTGATAGGGTTAGAGGCTTACGAGCTCCCCTAATAGCCAGGAAAATACAGTAATATGCTGCATCAAACCAAAAGCTCACTGTATCGAGATATGTATCTATCATGGCCTATGTATCGACATATATATATATTGGCAACTTCTTAATGATACCCAGTCCTAGTCCTTAAGCAAGACACTTCACCCACATTGCAGTGTTGGTGGTGGTCAGAGGAGCGATGGTTCAGATCGGAAGCCTTACCAGGAGTGAATGAATACAGCACCAAACTGTAGAGCAGCTTTGGGCGTCTGTAAAAGCGCTGTATAAGACTAATGCATTATACACGATGACAGTAAGTAGATTTGTTAATTGCGTAGATTTAAATTTTTCACAGATCATCTTGTCCTATTTATAAACATGTAAAAACTGCAAAATGAATGACAACGTGAATATGGGCTCTGAGCAGTTAGGTAATCTGTGAAAACATCTGTGCGTTAAATATGTATGCTTCATGAAATGTTAATGAGCCACATGTCCAGAGCCGAGCACAACACAACACAAGTCATACACACGCGTCACGTTTTCATGAGCGCTTTAACTCTGAGTAAAAATAACTGAATGCTGAATAAAAATGAATTCCACTTTAAAAAGACCATGTAAACACTTAATTACTAATGAAAATAGTTATTCAGAAATAAACTTAATTCCGAAGTATTTGGATGTTTTATTCTGATTGTAAAGCCAAATGAATTTATTCCTCAAACATTTATCCTTCTTAAAAATATTTCCGGTCGTTCAGCGCATGCTTGTTGGGGTGTGGGCTGAGGTAGAGCAGACGTTGGCTCAGTTTGTCTTCTTCCTCCCTTCTCCTACACTCTTCCTTTCTCCTCCTCAGCTGACAGACGTAAAGCGTGATGAGGGAATTCATCATCATTGGAACAACTGTTTGTGTCCGTGGCGTTACGACAAACCGAGATGACAAAAAAGCCGGTAGCAGCTGAAGTGTGTGTTTTCTTCCGGTCGATGTAAACATGTTTATGCACCCCCTGTCCAATCAGAACCCTTCCCCACCCCCAGACGTTGAGCCGAATTACATAAAGGCGATTTGATGTGTTTTCCATGTAAACCTCAATTTGGAATTATTATTTCCATGTGAACTCGAAGGAGAATATTTCATTTAATTCAAAGCAATTCAGAATTCAGAATGAAAAAACATCATGTAAACGTGACCAGTGTCAGGTCTGCTCCCATCTCTATCTGATTGACTCTGAGTGTGTGATGTCACTGTGCAGGGTGTGGCCAGAGCACAGGCGGAGACCAGACGGGGGTGGAGTCTGAGCCGTGGGTCTTCAAAGGGGGCGTGTCCGGAGAGGTGCAGGTGGGTGGAGTTTATCATTTTGAGGAGGAGGGGCTAGTTTAAATTAAGAAAATCATTTTGTCTACTCAATCTCTCTATATACATTATTTTATTACATCAGGTTATGATGATGAAGTAACATTTTTATTTTAGTATGTACTCAACTATATATTTTGGATATCTTTAATTGATTAAAAGCCCACTGTGTAGTTTTTTTAGCTAAACGCATACTTTTTTTCCCTAATGTTTTCTAATATTTCCATGTAAATGTTGTTCCTTTGGCTATAATATTCCACTGTATGGCATAAAACTTATCTATCTCCATGGAGAATATTCTGAAGTCTGGTTTTAACTTCTGTTTTCATGGAGTCAAAACTTGAAAGTGTATTGTGGCTATGCTGTTTTCAGCCTTAATAAAGAATATACAAGTTAAAATGATAATGTTCAAATATTTATATCAAATAAGAATGATCCAGGCTTAGTAACTACTTCTTTAATGGCTTTGGGTTAGGAATTAGGGGTATGGTATTAATTAAAGCGGAGTTCTTATACACAACCATTTTCTACCATGTTCTAATGCTGTTCCATCATCATGTGTGTGTGTTGCAGATGCTTCTCCCAGTAGGTGGCAGCACTGAGCTCTTCACACACCCTCCTCTGTTCCCCACCTCTCGCTTGTACAACATCAGGCCCTACCACAGCAAAGACAAGGTGATGCTTGTAATGTGTGTGCTATAATACACACATTAGCAAATTCTGGGGCCTGTGATAAATATGAGCGTTCATAGTCCGGTTTAGGAGTTTGCTTTTCAAGAGAGTGACTAACTGATAGTGCTGTAGTCAAAACCGCACTTATCGAGACCAAGACCTGTCCGAGACCAGGAGAAGACCAAGACCTCTGAGGGTCAAGACCAACACAAGACCGAGACTTTTAAAGGTCAAGACCGGGACAAGACTGAGACCATGGCCCATCGAGACCAAATCGAGACCATCTTTGTCATTTTCTACATTTACATATTTGTATTTTACAGTTATTTTACATATGTATCAATGTTTTTATAAATCTATCTCCATTTGATCTCATTAATGTTCATTTAAGTCTAAAATAAGACAGGCCGAGTCCAAGCACCTTCAAGACCAAAACAAGAATGAGTTCAAACGCGGACGAGCCCGAGACAAGAGCAAGACCATAAAAAAATGCGGTCTCGAGTCTGGTCTTGAGATCAAGACACTGCAACCTGAAAAACTGCACTGGAATTATCCTGCTTTGCTGTACTGTCATTATGTCAGTGATATAAAATATGTTTACAGTATTTCTCTGTGTCCATATATCATGCTTCACACTGTGTCACTGTGACAGTCCTACACGTGTACTAAAGGTCACACACAGAGTGCATATAAATACACTTATGTTTGATTGACAGGTGGAGTTGTACCGAATGGTGCGGCAGCTTCACCTGCGCACCCAGGCCAGTCAGGAGTCCAGCGCTCACCCGGACCTCATCGGAGACAGGTGCGGCACCTTCCCTGCAAAGACATATTCAAATCTAAATGAGCATACTTATTAGCATCAGCGCTGCAGTGGTAAACTGACAGATTTTAAGCTGAGAAAAAGTTTATGATGTGAAAAGAGTCAAAAACTGTCACAAAATTGGACCTTTGTGAAACTTGTAGGACCCTCTCTGATCCTGTCAGTTTGATTCTTAAACATAAAAAAGCAAAACATGGTTGATTCCTTAATATATTTTGTATACTTCTGACTGGGTTTGGTGGATAGTAATTGTGGTAAATATTTGTCATAGTTTTACATGAATTAAGTGCCAGTTTGGGAAAAAAAGTGGAGAAGCAAAGTACAAAACTACAGGAAGCAGTACTGAGTTAAAACAGAATCCCTCTGTGTATATGTCTTTAACACGGAATCTATCCAAAATGAGGGGCCATTTATGCCCACTGAAGGCCTTTTTCTGACACTTTAAACCTTTATTTAACTAAATAAAGGTGTTTCATTCATTTTATTTGTCCAGTTATAACTATTGTGTCATTTAGATAAATTTTGGCCCTTGCTAGATAACATACCTCTACATAAGTCATATATGACACCCATGTTCAAAGAGGAAGCACAATTATGAACTTCTCCAAAATGACAAAATAAGAACAGATCCAATCATGTTTTAAAGAAATGAGTCATCTAATCTGTCATATGTCACAAATCTCATTTTGTATTTATTTTCAGTCTTTGACATTCCAAAACATAAATCATTTCTTAATGCCATATCAGACGTTCCAAGCCAGACCCAGCTAACTTTGTTGTCGTCTGTCCCGTGAGGGCAGGTGTCTGGGAGCGTGCCTGGCTCTGTGCCCTGAGTACAGCTTCATCCTGGAGGACGAGCTGGGCGTGTGTGGCTGCGTGCTGGGCGTCCTGGATGTGCGCTCCTTCTCTAAGAGGTGTCAGGCCAGCTGGTATCCTGCCATGAGGGACAAGTACCCCCCCAGAGCAGGCTGCCAACTCGCCAACGCACAGGTGGGTCTGATGGAGGAGAGCTCAGCCAGAATGATAATAAATATTTTGCAGTGACACACATTGGATGCATTCTATCTGTCTCGATGGTGGAATGTTCAGCAGTTGCCATGGAGACACAATGCCCACATTAGGAAGCACAGTCAAAAAGTTTTAAGATCATCTGAAAACACATTTAGGAGTTAGATTTTCAATAAAAAGGTGAGAGTGACTCACAACCATGCACAAGAATTCCAATGTGTATGAACTGTTGTGTGTGCACAAATGCTAAATACATTTTTTACGCCACTTTAAAGACAAATTTATGGTCGTGCTTCACATCGTCCCCTCCGCAGAGTGTCTGTGTTGACCGATGTGCATCTCCAAAATTTTGCAACAGTGCGTTGAACCTCTGCAGAAAACAAGGGAAAGCGATGCAGACGATAAGGGCTGTGATTGGTCCTCATTTTCTCTACAGGAAGGCCTCCTAGCCTGCTAGTGTTTTAGCTGTGAATTACTTTGCGGCTCATAGACCTCGATGCAGATCCATAAATCAAAAACGAGGGTGACAAGGCAACAGCGGCATTGTGCGCTGAGTCGATGTAGAACTATAAAACGGCCTTAGTGGTCATGAACAGTCACTATGGTAACGGTCACTATGGTAACGGCCACTATGGTAACGGCCACTATGGTAACGGTACTATGGTAACGGTCACTATGGTACCACGCTCACAATTGTAATGGTAACGTCACTGCTGTAACGGTCACTATGAAAATGGTTGTAGCGGTTACGGTCAATGTGGTAACACTCACAACAGTAACATCTAAGCTTATAACTCAGACTGAGATAAGAATACATTCAAAACATTTTCATTCATGTATTCATTTTTGGTTTTGTGTACAATCTCTTCCAAATATAACTAAGCACCCGCGTGTGTGCAGGACCTGGTGGAGCGCATGCAGGAGGACCAGGGGGAGTACCCGGACTCACTGCTCTACCACTTTCCCTCTCAGCTTCGCCTGGATGCCCTCCCGGAGCTGGTGGACGTGAGCGTGAGCCGCACCCTGCTCACCGCGTTGCTCACTGCCCTCAAAGCAAACGGTCAGCATTCAACTTTGTACAGTGTTTGTAAAAGATGGCAATTATGATTAGGTTTGCGTTTTATATTTTCATATAACAAAGCAATCACTATAGTAATTATTGATACTTTGCAGTGACATCACGCTGGGGGTGTTCTACGTGTATTTCTGTGGTGGAATGTTCAGTCATTACCATGGACACACAATGCACACATTAGCAAACACTGACAAATAAGGTTTAAGGCAGCTCTTTCTGGTCAGATTGTGTTGAAATAAACCTCAGATTAAAGTCTAACATCCCTCTGATAGAGCAGTGCTTACTGTTAGCATTTGTGTTTGTTTGGCCCAGGTTCACAGGGTGTGTTCTGTGAGGTCCAGCCCACTGACCGCCAACGTCTGGAGTTTCTCACCAAACTGGGCTTCCTGGAGATCCTGAGGGGAGAGGCCCGGAGCAGAGAGGGCGTGGTCATGGGGCGTCTGCTCTAAGCCACGCCCACCACACACACACACACACACAACACTGCACACAGGAGTACACACCTCTAATCTAAAAACAAGTGTGGACATGAACAAAGGCCATTCTAACATTTTATTACATAGAAAGGCTCATTTAGATAATAGATCAGATTAATACATAGTAAGTAGCGATAGAACAATCACTAGTGAAATGTATTCACTCTAAAAATATAATATAATGTTGTATAAAGAGCAGTGTGATTGGTCGAACCGGTATCCACACTTCAAACTCTTGACCAGAAAGCTGCAAATTTATTCAAAAAACACTGTATACACAGTTTAGTAAAGAAAAAAAATGGATTTTCCTCCTGACTTACAACTAGAAATGTATACAGCGACTCCTGCGCTGGTGTGGACAGGCTGGACAGAGGGGTAGTGGACACAGTTAAACCTCAGTAGTGCTGTGATTCATTATGGCCTATTCATTACTCTATATATACTCCATAGTCACGCTTACAAACCAGGAAGACATTTGGAAACATGCGATGACATCTTCTGGTGGGCTCTGTTCGCAGTAGTAAATCTGACAAAATCTAGCAAAAATGAGAAAATGTCCCAGGTTTCTTCATTTCCATGTCATTGTAGTGTTCCGTTATGTTCGCTCATATCATTTCCCCACTGACACACAACTCCGAGTGCACTGGGTACATGTGATTAGAAGAGATGAGGCACCAAATTCCAGATGATTCCAAACAGCACATATGTAAACCTGAATAAGTTACCAAACTCAAAATAATTGAGGGAATCGATTGAATCAATTATTTTAAGTTGATGAACTTAAAAGTTACAGTCTTCCAGAACTTAAAAGGTTGGATGGCTTGCTACTTGTACTTTATGGTGACAGCTGAATTAAAAGTAATTTAGCTCAACTCAAATATTTGCAGTTAGATTTTTCAAACCACTGGAATAATCACATTTTCAGTTTTGCATGTAGTTTATGATTTTGTACACACATTGTACACAGAATCCAGTACAGAATCTGTATCTACTCACATTATATTATACATATCTTATACTAGAAATACATGATATTATACATATAGACACATTATATGTTCGATTATACACGCCCTAGGAAGGGGATTTAAACCTGAGTTCTCCTTGTGAAAGTCAGGGGATTTACTAGTCTAATCAATATTATATAATATGTATATAGTTTAATAATACATACATACTTACATACATACAATACATATTATAGTATACACATAGTACATTATACACACATTACATGTTATTTTTTAATTACTTAATGCTATTAAGTTGTGTTAAAGATGATTGATGTGGCTGTGGAAGAAGGAAACAGAGCTGCTGCATGTAACTCGGCATCAGTGAGTTGATGGTGAGATTTTGGCGACTGCAGTCGAACTGACTCAATGCAAAAAGACGACAAAAGCTTTTAGAGGCGATAAAAGAAGACGGCCCCATTTCAAAAAAAAACTGAAAATGTGGACACCTGTGGCTTTTCAGGTGTGGCCTATATAGGTACAATTTAAAAAAAAATGTTAAAATGTTGTTGATGCGGCTTATAATCATGTCTGGAAATTATGGTAATTAAGTTAGCTAATTAGCTAATTAGCTAATAAGCTATTTCCAAAACTTTTGAGTATACACAACTTAATCTGTTTAATTACTTTGAACGTTCAGGTTTACAGTGTACATATGCAGTCTTCATTTTACCGCTGATCACATTTACCTCAATGGGCTTTATCACAGTCGGTCAGCGAGCCCAGTGTCGGGAACTACACCAGAAGTTGTCATCGTATGCTTCCAAATCTTCCTGGTTTGTGATGTAGATGTGAATAGAGCCTATAGACCCAGGCCCTTTGGGTGTTACACAGGTCTAGAAAGTCAAACCCAATGGCGTGACGTAGGCCTGTGCCACGAGCCACTTCTGGCTCACATGTGCTTAGCCTCTCACCAACAGAAAAGCTCTTGTTTGTGTCCACACTGCTCTAACAAACACCTGACATCTTAATGTTTACATGCATGAATCACCACACTCACTTAGCTCTGAACAGGGACACACATCTCTCCTTTTCAATGCAATACTTTGAGTCTGGGTGGTTCTGAACACAGCATGCACTCTCATTCACTCGTGCATGAGATTTATGCAGTAAAATACCCAATAGTTTACAAGTTTTCCTTTGTAAAAGATACCTCTCCCTTTTGATAAGTGTGAATATTGTTGTAAATATTGTGTCTAGTGTCTGTATCATTTTGAATCCAACAGCAAAAGAAGAAGCACACTCCCATGAATGTCACTTTTCTAACAGAGACATTAGCACTAATATTTGTACCTTTTCTTTTATTAGCAAAGACAATACGGCACTTTCTGTCACTTTGGTTCCACTGCAGAAACCAACATCTACAAGAGTTAAGGGTGCACTGTGGAACTTTTCTGGGGGAGGGTACACTGCCTGCTTGTCTGCATGGAAACGCTATTGCTTTGCCAGGAATGTTCCAGAGTAGGGCATTACATGTCTCTATCTCCATGGAAACAAGCGGGTCCCCAGAAAAGATGCACAGTACACCTTCAAAATGACTTGAATTGGGAATGTTAAAGAGTCTGTATTACGCTCTGTTCTGATCTCTGTTATAATGTAGTTTCCTCATCACAAACAGACCTGGAGTTGTGTTTTGTTTCGATCACACATGTTTAACACACAAACCTGCACATTTAGGAAACTGAAAACCAACTTGTGATGTCACGTGGTAATATAAGAAGTGCTTTCACTGTGTTTTTAAACTCCATAAACCTTCACTAGAGTCATTTGAATGATGTCAGCGCTGGAATTGCCAATCTCTACTGAAGATAAAAGGAGCTATTAACTTTAAAACTACCACTTCATGACATCACAAGGTGGAACAGAGCATTTTGAGCTTTGAAGAGTAGACAGACTAATAAAAAAATGATTCATCAAATGTGTGAATGAAACAAAACACAACTCCAGTTCTGTTTTTACGAAGGTAACAACATAACAAGTCAACAAAAGTCAATTCTGTGTAATATCGGACCTTTAATATTGATTTGAGGGGTTTTGTTTGTTTATAAATATACAAATTGAGGTCTTTCTTTTTAGCTGTTTTTGTTCACCTACACTACCTACTACTACTTTTAGAACACCAGTTTTTTACTGTTTACTGTTGACCAAAACATATTCTAAACATTTGATTTGATTGAGATAGAACAGCTGAACACACTCACAGCTCGTTCTTTTTACAACAGAAATTAAATATTCTTCAGAAAGTTCTTCCTAAGTCTGTTGCAGAAGTTCCCATAAATGTGTGGCATTGTAGGTTGCTTCACTCTTCTGTCCAGTTCATCCCAAAGCAGCTCGACGGGGGTTTAAGTCTGGACACTGTGCTGCTGCTGGACACTCCAGGTTTTCAAGCTTTACCATGTTGTCCTTTTTTCCTGAGGTAGTTTTGGCAGAGCCTGGACTTGTGTTTTGTATCTTTTATCTTTTTTTAACCTCTGGCTTCAAGCTCTTCTTTGGACTTGCTCGACTTGAATTGCAATAAATAACTGGCAAAATTAGAATGTTCTAAAACTTAGTGTAGATATTTTATGTAGTAGCCAGGATTTTCTATAGTTGAAAACCTTTTCTAAAAATCAGAAAGCAGATTGAGCATAATTTTTGATTGCCAGGTTCAATACTGAAGTCCAGTTGTTTTAAACCTAAAATGCCTCTCTCTGATCTGAATGGTCACTCCCTAAACGCCATCCTGAATCAGTGCTAGTGCAGCCTCTGCAGCTCAGGGAGTGAATTCTGGAGGTTCTGAGCTTTTACACGAGGTCTGTTCGTATACTGAGAATGAGACGAACTTGGATGTGTCTCTATCTGCAGGCAACACAGGTTCAATTGTGATTGTAGTTCTTTTTTTCTTTAACAGTAAAAAACACGGAGAAGCCTCGTTAAAAAGTAAGAAAAGTATCTAAACTATCGACAATCACTCAAATCAACATTCTGATTTCAAGTCATTTTACTCCTAGTTGTCTTTGCAGTGCTTTTTGCAATCATTCAAATCTATGTCGTGTCGTCAGAAACTAATGCACAATAAAAACTACATGTGTGAATGTAACTCTCTGAATGTTAGACAAGGCTCCCTCTGCACTGTGACCTGAACACACAAGGTCCTGTATTCTGCTCAGACACTCTGGAAACCACTTTTGAGGAGCTGGTTTACGGTTCAAAATTTAAAATAATGTGCAGAAATTAAAGCAGAAGTACCTGATTTTTACCATCTTACAAACATGAAAAACAGAACTACCGTAAAATACCAAATAATAGCCGGGTTTCAATTAACCGCTGGGTCCTCTTTAAATGCCGGGTGCAGGTGTATATTTTGATAAATAACCACCAGTTCCAAATAAACACAGAGTCTGTATAGAAAGTAGCCTATGCTGACACCCCAAGCAGTCAGTCTGGCTGCAGTTTTTTGTGCTTTATTTAACCAAGATATCATGATTAGTGCAGCAACACCACGAAGAGCATGATGTTTATAGACTTCAGTTCAGTCCTGCCGACACCAGACTAGTTGCGTGACTGAATGGATAGGCTCTATTCTCTGCGCTGCGTCCAATCAGCCTCACCTTCACTGAAAAAGTGGAGGAACAGATGATTTTGCTGTGAAATCCCTATTTTGAAGTGATGTAAAAAAGAAAAATGGCACAACACAGCGGACTCCATTAGGCTCCTGCTGATTATTTAATCATTTCTTAGATGGCTTTAATTGAAATGGTTTGATGGATGGGCACGCCATGGCTCTCATTCCCAGCACGGGGGCCTAATCGCGGCTCTGTCCGGAGAGCTTCACCTTGGCTCTGAGGAAGACTTTAGTCACAAGGAGGAGAAAGATGTAGGACATGGTATCATTTAAGTTTGGCAATTGGGAGGATGCAGTAATGTCGTTGTAGCTGCTGTGGCGTAAGAGGAAAGTTGTGGCAAAGGGGTGAGGAAAGACAG